CTGTGCCCCTTTAAGGGGTCCGGGGCCAGGAGGGGGGCAATAGAGTTTCCCTGGTGTTGGCCAGAGTGGCCACCAGGGAAAGCTGAGGAGAGCTAGCCTCCCACTAGTTCGAATTAAGGGGCTACACACCCCTTAATTCGAACTAGAAAGTTCGAACTAGGCTTAGTCCTCGTAGAATGAGGTTTACCTAGTTTGAACTAAACGCTCCGCTAGTTCGAATTAAGTTCGAACTAGCGGAGCGCTAGTGTAGTGCCTATCAAAGTTAATTCGTACTAACGTCCGTTAGTTCGAATTAACTTTGCAGTGTAGACATACCCTTAGACAATGCTGCATGTGGCCAGCAGTGGCTTCTGCAGACTAGAAACAGAACTGCTTCTCCCGTCCACTGCTTTTCATAGGTAGTGTCCAGACACCCAGACAACATTCACAATACTCCTTAGGATATGTCTACACTTGGGATGTAATCACAGCAGAATGAATGGTGGAAGAGGCTACTTATCTGAGTAGATGTCTGTAATGGGCACGTACAATATTAGCAAGTCCTTTCTGCCGCTCCTGCTGCAGTGGCTATGTTCTATTTTTAGCATGCTAATTTGCTAAGAGGTAGCCAATGTATGTCTCCTTGAGTAGGGAATCATACCCGTAGTTTGATATGTAGACATATCCCTTGCCTGGAAGAGTAAGATCACTAGCAACTCTTCAAATATAGGAGGGCTCTGATTGTCTGGGAAGCACTGGGAAGCACTTAAGCACACCCTAGAGGTATCCCCAACCTTCCCATTCCCCTTCCAAAATCCAGTGCTGACAGAGGCAGTCAATATCCCTTGATGTTATTATGAGTCCGGGAATAGATCATCTTGCTGATAATGAAGGAATACAATCATGCTGTCCTGAATCTCGTCTAGTAAGAACATGGCTCTTGTTTTATTTTACCATATTGAGGCCCATTAAAAGTTGCTTCTGCCCTTGAAGAGACACTTTTTAATGAATGAAACAAAAACATGTCTTTCTGCAGTGAGGCAATTCTATCCATAAATCCCCAATGATGTGCTTTTTTCGCGTGAAGAATGTCCTGACTCATTTGTCTCTGAAGTCATTTATACTAAGTGTGATTTTTATCTTTTACTCCATATATTATCTATTTTAGGAATGTCATCCAGCTTTGTGTTTGGAAGCTTCTCTTTTGGTACTTTAATCATTTCACAGTATGATGATTTTTGTACATGCTCTTGAACGCTATATTTCTTTGATATCTGATAAGAAAATAAGACATAAGAAGTTCTCTAGCAAAGCATTTATTGAGGAGAAATCAGTTGCACAGAAATGTTGGCGATACATAACCAGTGACCAACACATTTGATATTCATCGTACATCAGAATTATCTAAGATGTTTTCCCTATTAGCTAGTTTTTTCTCCCTTTTAAACAAAATCTGCCTGTTTATACAATTTCAAAAGGGATCAATGTTTGATCTCTATTTGGTGAAGATAGATCATTGGTCAGTAGTATGCAGATTCTTAAGTAAGAAACTGCAGAAAAACAAGCTTCTATTGTTAGCTACAGAATTTATGAAATGATAACAGCATGATTGCAACAAATCTAATAAAGATAACATCTCTAGGTTAGAGTCAATGAAAACTCCATCTGGTTTCTGCAGTGGGGAAGCTTATGCAAGACCAAAAAACTTGATTGAAGCATGCAGGAGGAGAAGGTTTGCTCAATTTAGCTTTAGTTTCTAGATAGTGTGAGCCAGAGTTTTATTTAATTTGGCTCATTGTTATTATGAACCAAGATGAATTGATGGATAAACACAACTAGAACACATCTGTTATCTTTGCTTATGCTGTAATCACCAGCAATCTGATTAAACTTTGTAAACCAAAATGAAAGTCTGTTTTATAAGAGTGTTGGAAAACAATGATTAGATTATTTAACTACTACTTTGTCAAGAACTGGTTTATTTCCATTGCCTAATTTACTGTCACTCCCTATCTAAAATGCACTAAGATGTACTATGATCCACACATTTTACTCAAGATGAGATGGTGTGAGGCCGTATTTGAATCATTGTTCATATTACGGTAAGTTTAGCAGTGTTCGCTGTTGATGACATAAAAATCTTATGAACTCTTTTTGCACGATTTTAAGCCTAAACAGAAAAAAAAAACCTCATCAGATCCATTGTTCTCATGCAATGAATCCATTCATACTGGAATTGTAATGCAATCCCTCTGGACATGACCAGAAATCAAAGTTTTGTGAATTAGGTTCAGATGAGGAATTCACATCTGATCCACTGCCACCACAATTCTAATTAATTTAGATGTGACTTTCTGGTTTTGGCCCTCAGTTAGCAAACAATAGACGGGTTTATACATACATATACACACACACCTCAACAACAGCAGGTCAAATAACCAACTGTTGATTTTGCTAAGATCTGATAGCTGAGGATAATTAGATAGAAAATAATTTAGTTACTTCAGTTACAGTGCAGAATCATCCACAAATGTAGATGTATAAACAATTTGCACTTTCCTTTCATAGCCCTGTTGTGGAGACAAGATCCACTCATACTGAACAAAGAATTAATGTTAAATAATGTATTTAATAATTCTTCAGGCAAGGAAATAAATCAGCCTGACCACTGTAAGGGGCTCTTAACAGCTGTGGGAATGGCAAACCATTCCACGAACTGTATGTAGAGGCCAGTAAGTCTCTGTAGAGAATAAACATGAAAGAGCAACTTAACATTAAATACAAATATATAAGTCAGGTCTTCACTAGGTTTAAATCAGCATAACTCCATGGAGCAATGGCAATTCTCACCAGCTGAGGATCTGGTCTATATACAAATTAATACAGGCAGTCCCCGGGTTACGTACAAGATAGGGACTGTAGGTTTGTTCTTAAGTTGAATCTGTATGTAAGTTGGAACTGGCGTCCAGATTCAGCCGCTGCTGAAACTGATCAGCGGCGCAAGGTAGGTCCCTGCAGGACCAACCCGGCAGCACCCCAGCTGCTCTACCCCAGGGTCCACAACAAAAGCCTGGTCTGCTCGGGGTGGGGGGGTGCATTAGCTGCGCCCCCTTTCCCCTCCCCTCCCCGCAGACCAGGGACACAGGGAGCAAAGCCGCAGCCGCGGTGGGGTGCCGCACCTCTGAGGCTTTGCTCTGGCAAAGCCTCAGAGGCGCGGGACCCTGCCGCCACTGCGGCTTTGCTCCCGGTGTCCCTGTTCTGCTGGAGACGGTCCCCAGCAGACCAGAGGCACCAGGAGCAAAGCGGCAGCGGCGGCGGGGTGCCGCGCTTCTGAGGCTTTGCTCTGGGTGTCCCTGATCTGCTGGAGACGGTCCCCAGAAGACCAGAGGCACCCGGAGCAGCTTTTCTTGCCCTGGAGGTCGAGGTGGTGGGACCGCTGCGCTCTGGGCGGTCCCGCTGCCTGCGAGCTCCGGGGCGAGAAAGCCCCGTTTGTAACTCAGGGACTGCCTGTACCATAAAATAAGGCTAAATGTATAACAAAATTTGAGAATTTAAACTTTATGATGGAAAGGAAAATAAACACAAGGACACATATACCTCTTCCATAATTTTTCCTCAAAACTTGCTAACAGCCAGGTTAATTATAGTCATAACAGAATATTGCCACATTGCTAAAACTGAAAGACAGCTGGCACCAGGAGGCCAAACAAAAACAGGCTCATGCTACAAAATTCAGAAGACACAGCAGTTCTTGAAAGGTAAAACATCTTCAGGAGAGCTTTTAATTGGCAGGGCTCCATAAGCCCAGACAAATCAATTGTTATGAAAAAAGTTTAGTCTGCAAAGAATGAATTGGCTTAGTCCACCCCATTCTGTGAATAATATGTCATACATAGCTCAGACATCGAGACTGCACTTGTGTTAGATTCACAAAGGCATCTAGCACTGTCCTGCCTGTCTTTTAAGCTTCAAAATTTACTGGGATTTACAAATCCTGATTTAGACTCTGAGGCTTCCTGTGTAATGAATACAGGGAGACAGGCACTTCACAAAAGCCAGCAAGTGTAGCAGCTTCCTGCTAAAACTGCCAATGGGAAATGCCAAAGTGAGGCGTGTGTGCTAAAAGCTTTTGGACTTAAGCCCTGAACCCCTTTTGCAGATAGATATCTAAATTGGGGCTGGAGGGAAGTGATACCCTCTGTTTGAGATTCTCAGCTGCAAACATTTTCTTGGAGGTAGGTGTCTATTCCATTTTTTTGCAAAAAGCTGGAGGTCCTTCACAACTTCTGATCCAGTGATTGGACTACTCATATGGGGTGGAAGCCCCCGCTACAAGTGCCCCTTCAAATGACAGGGATTTGCTGAGGGAACCACTTACTAACTTTGGGTATGTCTACACTAGCTCGTTAATTTGAGCTAGGTATGCAAGTCAGGCAACTGGAGTTGCAAATAAAGCCCGGGATTTAAATATCCCAGGCTTTATTTGCATGTTCCCATCTGTCCACCATCTTTAAATCCCCCTTAGTTCGAACGAACTGCACGCGGACTAAGGACTTAGTTCAGATTAACTTTAAACTGCCGTGTGTAGCCGCGGGCAGTTCGTTCAATTCTCCAGGCACAAGCGGGGAGGGGGAGACTGCCACCTGGCATGTGGATTGGCAGGGGGACATGGTCCCTACCTCCTCCACCACATCCCAGCCCAGGGCCCTAGTAGTGGTGGCGCTGTGGCCACTGGATCGGCAGTGCTCCAAGCTGTAACTCGCCATCTGGATCACTGTGCTAGCTTCCCCTGGGCCACTGCCTAAACCCCTCCTCCCTCAACATCTACCTGGCTCCATGATGTCTGCTGGTTCTCAGGGTCATGGTAGTCTGAACCCTTGACCAGGGTGTAGAAGGTCTCTTTTTTGGAGCAAGGGCCTGGCGGTCCTCAGCCTCTCCAATGTCCTCAGGGCCCTCCTGGCTTGAGAGCTCTACTTCCTTCAGTGGCTGAGACCCTATTGAGCTCCTGGGTTGGGTTTTTATGCTCCCTGCCCCACCCCTTGGCCTCTGTGGAATTAAAGGGCTCAGCCCACCTGGGCTCAGAGGAGTTTTTCCCCTTTGGGTCAGTGAGCAGCCATCCTTGCTCACTACAGATGGTAATTCTGTTCAAACCCTTCCCCCAGTCAAGTGACAGAACTTGAACCAGGTGTCTCCTACATCCTAGGTGAATCGTCTAATAACTGGGCTAGAAGTTATGTGTGAGTTCATCCCACGGGACTGCTGTTTTTCAAATTTGCATACAGGACCCAATCAGGTAGGGATGCTCCAAGCAAACTTATCAGATCAGTTCCCCCAAGCAAGTGAGGGAAACATCTCTCATTCCTTACTTTGTGCATCAGCCTATGGCTGAGGTGTCTGGATGCTTAGAGTGTGGCTACGTATGCATACCCAAAGGCTGAAACATAGACAACAAAATTTTTACTGCAAAAATTTAGTCAAAACTAATTTTTAGTTTTGTTTTCCTTTCTTCCTCTGAATCACAATGCTAGCCTCACATTTCTGTCTTTTTCTAAAATAACCACGAATTATTTATTTAGTATGGTTTCATAACCATTCATTATTGGGAGGCTGCCATTTTTCTCAATAGCTCAAGCATATTCCTACTGTAAGCACTAATAATCTCCACAAAAAGACCTACAGCATGTGAACAGGATTAAAGCAACAAGGTACTACAAGACATTTTAAAATAATCTATAGAAGTAATTCTTAAAGACTACAGAACAGATAATTTCCTTTCTGCATGTATTTTGAACAACCTCACAGAACATTGCAATATACATTTATATCTGATTTTACACTTTGTATTACATTCTATAATTATAAATACAGAAATCTCTCTGGAAAAAAATAGCATTTCCTATTAAATTATAAAGACATTTTCTGAAGGTGTAGACCAGCTTTCTCATATTATTTCACACATTTACACATTGTAATAACATACCCACTGAGAACATTCTCTCAAATATCCATGCCTGCTTTACTTTCTCAGCAACTCTGTCTCACATCCATTTGGGATTTGCTTATCAATCATCTCAGAGTTCAAGGTCTCATGCATCTACCTAAGGCTGATGTACTGATTCAGCCTTCTGAGGTTACCTGTTTACACATCTTTCAGAACTGACATACTAGCATAAGGCTCTCATTTGACTTCCTCAAACACCTACCTGGTCCTGATTTACAGACATCAGTCAGTCTGACATGCTTTTCAAATCATAGTGCATTAATACAGGCCAAGGAGAGGTCATTGCTTTATAAACATAACCAGGGCTAATGGACCAGCACTGGTCTCCATCAGGTTACTGCCTCCTCTTTGTACCATAAAACACCTAAGTCTTGCATACAGCACAGAGCGAATAGGAGTGTTTCTCCACCTCATCTATCTATCCAGGCTTACTGTATTGAATTGTGCCTGTATTAGACCACATCACAAATGTAATCACTACCTATGTACTGGCAATAATTTCACTGTTTCATAAAACCATCGTTTAAATGGATTTATGTTCTAAGCCTGCTTCACTGGCTCTCTGGTACAGGCAGTCCCCGATTTATGCGGATCTGACTTATGTCGGATCCGCACTTACGAACGGGGCTTTTCTCGCCCCGGAGCTCACGGGCGGCGGGTCACCACCCCTGTCCTCCGGGGCGAGAAAAGCTTCTCCCGGTCTCCCTGGTCTGCTGTGGGGGTCCAGCAGCTTTGCTGGACCCCCCCAGCAGACCAGGGGGACAGGAGCAAAGCTGCCCAGGCGGCATCCCACCGCCTGTTCGGCTTTGCTCGGGGGCAAAGGAGCAAAGCCACATGGGTTGCGGGGTCCCTCCGCCTGTGCGGCTTTGCTCGGGTCTCCCTAGTCTGCTGGGGGGGAGGAGGCACAGCTAGTGCGCGCCCCCCCCCGCAGACCAGGCTTTTGTTGCGGGACACCTCAGGTAGAGCAGCTGGGGTGCTGCCGGGTTGGTCCTGTGGGAACCTACCTGGCAGCGCCCCAGCTGTTCTGTCCCAGGCTCCAGATTCAGCAGCTGATGAAACTGATCAGGCTGATTCCAGGAAGCTGGGGGCAGAGCAACTCTGCCTCGGGCTTCCTGTAGTCAGCCCCT